ATCAGAGTGACAGGAAGCGTTGGGCGACATGCTGAAATGTTGGGCTCCAAAATATGGCTTCAGCGTGATCCCGACAGTGGCATCTGACTGTACGATCATTCCCCAGAATAACCTCATATGACAAGGGACCCGTTACCTTAGTTATCCTAGCTGCCACCCAAGGTGTCCCACTCCCATAGTTCCTGGTCCAGATCAATTAACCCGGCTGTAAGTTCCTGGGGCAGGTTGGCTGAACCATCTCTGCCACAACTCTGGGTTGTGATCGAGCTTTGTGGTGAGCCAGCAGCCCCACCTCGGCTCTGCTGGACTGTGACCTGTTGCTGTACTGGGAGTTGTGTATTGACACAGGAGGAAGTTTGCCAGGTGGTGATTCCAGTTGCCAGTCATCATCCACTTGAGCGCCTCCTTTGTGGTCCTGACCATTCATTCAGCCTGATCATTGGTCGTGGGGTGGAATGGAGCAGATGTTACATGCTGGATCATGTTGGCATTGAGGAATGACTGAAACTCTTCTGCTGTGAATTGTGCCCTGTTGTCAGACACGATTATATCTGGCAGACTATATGTGGTGAACAGCTAGTGCAACTTTCGAATGACCCTAGTCATTGTCATTGATGAGACTGGTGCCACTTCCAACCACTTGGAATAACTGTCCACTACTATCAGGAACACCTGCCTCTGAAAGGGGCCCACAAAGTCAAAGGGGCCCACAAAATCAAATGTGTACCTGAGACCATGGGGTGTGCGTGGGCTCCTAGCAATGCACTGGTGCTTGTGGCATCTCTGGTTGGGTTTCTTGGCAGACCTGGCAACTCCTTACTTGATTCTCAATGTCTTTGTCTAGGCCAGGCCACCACAAGCAGCTAGAGCCTTCATCCAAAAAAATCCTGGGTGCCCATGTAGGGAATCCAGCACCTTGGAGTGAAGACTGGATGGAATGATGACCCTGCTGCCCCATAGCATACATCCCTTTTTGGGCCAACAGTTCATTTTTTTGAGAAGCAAAGTGCTGGAACTCAGGGCCTTGTCAGGCCTCTGGCCATCCCCTTAACACCTAGTTTGAGAATGCGGCTAAGTTCTGAACATGGTGGTTTCTGCTGCAATGTTCCCTGCATGCAGGGGGTGTTTCAGGCAGGTCCTAGATTGCCAGGATAGAACAAGCTGGGGCTGGATCTGGCTCAGTCTGCAGTAGAGGCAGTCAGCTGAAAGCATGGCATGGCCCATTTCCTTGCCTGACTTGTGGGCTAACTGGTACTAGTATGCAGCCATAAAAATGGACCATCATAACATTAGTGGTGACAGGATCTGTGGTGTCTGTTTGTCAGCTGTGAAGAGACCAAGCAGAGGTTTGTGGTCTATAAAGATGGTGAAGGTTCGTCCATATAAGAAGTCATGGAACTTCTTAATGCCAGCCACTATAGCGAGGACTTCCTTGCCTATCTGAGCATCGTTCCTTTCAGCCGATGATAACATTCTAGAATAATACGTGATGGGGGCCTCTCTATCATCTGGCATCCTGTGGCTTAGTACTGCCCCAATGCCATATGGCAAAGCATCACAGGCTAGTATTACTGGTAGGGTTTCATTGAAATGAGCTAGGATGTACTCCAAGGATAGCAACTTTTTTACTGCCTTGAATGCTTTTTCGTGAGTGCTCAACTAGACCCAGGGTGCTTGTTTGTCCAGTAGGCGATGTAGCAGTTCTGCCAGGGCAGCCTTACGCAGTAAGAAGGAGTGGTAAAAATTGAGCAAGCCCAGGAATGCTTGAAGCTCCCTCTTGGATTTTGGTGTGGGGGCTTGCTGAATTGCCTTTACCTTTGCTTCAGATGGGTAGGTTCCAGCAGCATTGATGCAGAAACCCAGGTATTCTGTAGATTCTACACCGATCTGGCACTTTTCCCTTTTTAGGCCTGCCTTGTGCAAATGTTGGAGTACTCTACAGAGACATTCTGCCAGGACTGCTGCTGATTCCTCCATGATCAGGACATGTATGGGCAGACACTGGGAGTGTTCTTCAGTGTTCATTCCATAATACTTTGGAACAACCCTGGTGCTATGTTACCCCAAACTGTAAACAGCGCACTTGGAATGCACCTCTGTGTGTGACTGTTATTTGTGCTTCTGCGGTAGCATCGTCTACCAGTAGCTGCTGGTAGGCCTGGGTGAGGTTTAGCTTAGGAAGATTCAGCCTCCCTGGAGCAAGATGAGGATGTGGCTTACCACTGGTACAGAGTAAGCATGTTGCTGTAGTGCCTTGCATATGGTGCACTTGTAGTCTGCTCAGATGCGAATATCCCTGTTAGGCTTAACCGGGGTCACTATGGGAGTCTTCCTTTGGCGACAATCCACAGGTTGGAGCACTCCCTGCTGTACCAGCATGTCTAATTCCACATCAATTTCAGGCTTCATGCAAAGGGAGTCTTGCACAGTTTTAATTGGATTGGAGTTACTGTTGGATCGAAGTTGAGTGAAATGGGTGCCCTTTGTATAGTCCCAGGTCAGTGCTGAATACGTTAGCGTATTGTTGGCATACCACTTCTAGATTGGCTATTTGGGTTCGATGGATGCCTGTTACCCGGATGCCCAGCGCCTCACACCAATCCAGTCCTATGAAGCTGTTGCATGGCCCCTCTATGACCACTATGCTGAGGGGACCCTCTCTGAATTATACTCTAATGGTAGCTTTGCCCCTTATGGGAATATGGGACTCTGGAAGTCTGTTAGCACTACGTTTGATAATATGATTGGGACCTGCCATTGGCTACATTTGCAAATGTGGTCAAAAGTCATGGAGGAGATAATGGACAGGGCCGATCCAGTAGCTAGCTCCATGGAGCATGGGACCCCTTGAAGTTTTAGTTGTTGTCTTATCTTTTCTTTGATGTGGCATTGGGCCCCTGTGTGTTAGATGCTACGCCTTTCCAAGTAGTATTTAACTCTGTTCTGTCCTGGGGACCTTTTGCCTTTGCTGTGTCGCAGGTTTTGTTTCCTGCTGATGACCTCTGCAGACTCTGGCAATATTCCCTTGATTTCCATAGGCATGGCATACTGCTGTGAGGAATCTGCACTCTGCTCTTTCATGCTGTCCCCCACAGCTTGCACAGTTCTGTGGGGAAATTGCTTGCACTGTGGAATGTGGCCATCTGGGTGGTTTGCTCTGCAAGCAATTGATTTCTTTGCTCTCACTGACCTCCCCCAAGCCTTCTGCGATCTCTTGGTGGATCACTGGGGGGCTGGTGTGTGTTTTTGGTGGCCAGAGAGTCTTCATGGTCCTTCCAGCAGCCTCATCCACTATGACTTCCTTCAATACATCTTGGAAAGTCAGTTTCTCCACAGCGAATAGGCACTGCTGTAATTCACTATTATGCAGGCCACAAACGAGCCTGCTTCTGAGACGGTCTTTCAGATCAGGGAACTTGCATTGGCACAAAGCTTGGTGAAGGGCTGCCACAAACTCTGCTGCAGATTCTCCAGATCTCTGTTCATGTTGCTCGAATGCCTGGCGCTGGGCAATGACCAGAGTTTAGGCTCAAAATGTTCCCTTAATTTTTTCTTGAAGTCTGCATAGGCCACTGTCTCTATGCTTACTGGTGCTATTAAGTTTTCAGTGATATAAAACATGGCTTGTCCACAGACACGTAGTAGGGTTGCTGCCTTCAGGTTGTCATCAATGACCTGACCAACCCAGAGATAGTTGTCTGTTTGGGTGACATATGAGCTCCACTGTTCTAGGTGAGTAATATCAAACTCGTTGAGTTTTCCCAGTTTAGCCATTTTGGGAAGGCCCCTGTAGTACTGGTTAATGCCTGTACTGTTGTGGTTGGAACTGAGCTGCACTTAGGAGTCCTGGGGATGGATCTCTCAGGTATGTCTGTGCCTCCAGTGTGTCTTACTGGCAGGCAGGGCAGGGAGCGTGGTCCCACCAGGGCTCTTTATCCGGTGTGACACCGAGTGTTTTCAGCGGGCCTCCAGTGTGGCTTACTGATAGGCAAGGGTGAGGACTGACCCAGAGATTTTAGTCTCTTAGCAGCAGCTCTCTCCTTTGCAGCATCCCACCTTCATCGCCACTATTGGGTAGTGGGCTTCAGGAGGCAAGAAGCAGACCAGCATAGTTACAACAACATTTATTGACTCAAAACTGGAACTGAGGAACAGCAGACAAATGCCTGTAATTTATACCCTGGGCCCACAGGACCTTAACCAATCAAAACCTTTTTTAAAAACCCCGCCCAAATATGAATGTTCTAAGTTTCCCTCCAAAACAGTGGAGTTAACAGTTAGGGTCATATAAAAGTTAGTTTCACTATAGCATGGCTTAACACAACTATATGTATTCAGTACAGAACAGTTATCTTTCTACTCTGTTTTCCCAATCATTGTTGAGAGTAATAGTAGATGGCAATTGTTGGGGTGATACGGTAATTATTTTACGGAGATAGTAGAGGTGATGGAAGCTTGTATTTTGTCTGAATCCATACTTATTAGTGAGACTAACTGGAAGTGGAATATAATGTGTCTCTCTTCATATGTATTCTAAAGACATGTAAGGGATAACATGTAAGGGATAACATATAAAGGATATGAATATGATTTTTTGTTGGCCGCAAGAATGCTGATAGTTTTTAGATGATAGTAAGCATAGTAGGTAGCAGTTTAGTATTTGCAAACCTGTCTTGAGTTTCCATCTTGAAATACTTGGAAGCCACATGATTATCAGTGTGTATCTGTATAGAAGAATAAAACCAGAATACAAATGAACAAATGTAAGCCTTTTTGGTGTAAAGTTATAAAACGCATAATGCTATGATATCCTGTTTTGTTAAATGGTCTTCCTGTGAGTTATCAATGCATTTTAAAAGTTGATATCATTGTTTGAGGTGTTTATGAAAGAAAATCTAGTTTATGTGGAATATAACAACAAAAATTAAACAGGACTTCAAAAAGAAGGTAAGTTTTAAAGATTCTTTATATCACTGACATCTTATTCTTTCTGCTACCAGGTTGTAGGTCCTGTTTTTTCCAGTAAGAAAAATAATGGATCTTGGCCACATGTTATTTCCCAGGATATGGAGCGGCATATAGAGATAATTAAAAATAAGACCTATGTTATGAATGGAATTGTGTCTGGGAAAATTCTCCTTCCTCTTCCAACAATTGCAACAAAGACCGATTTGCAGGATATGTGCACTGAAAATAAGTAAGGAGTGTACACATATATGTAATGGAATGTATGAATGTCTTTGGGAATGAGGGGAAAAGATGCTCCTGAGGAAACAATCAGACAAAAGAAGCAGGAGCCCTCCCCCCCCCAGTGGCTTAATAGAAAAGGAGACTTGGGAAGGACCCGGTCTAAGCAGTTAAAAGTGTAAGCAGGAAATTTGTTCATTCAGATTTTCAAGATTCTGTTAATATAGCATTACAAGAAAGTAGAAATAATTCATCTAAAACAGAATTGTAGGGCTGGAAGGGACTTTGGAGGTCCTCTAGTCCAGGGGTCGCCAACCTTCTGGACCTCAGGGACCACCAAACTCATAATTTTAAATCCCGTGGACCACTAATATGAATTTTGACTGATGGTGGCTTGCTGACATTTTCCCAAGGTCTCTGCAGAAAGCAGCAGAGACCTTGGGAAAATCCCCAAAAAAGTCTGCAGGAAAATTCCCCACCGTGTTTTCCTACTGATCTATCATTCTTTACTTGGGATCACAGGATACTGTCTCCAGCTCTGTTCTCAGGGGGAGAGAGGGGGGGAGGGAGGGAGAGAGAGAGAGAGAGAGAGAGAGAGACTTGTCACTACTTTTGAAAACCTCAGTGCATCCACTACTCCAGGGGGCAAGGTATTCCATTGACTAATTGTTCTGACTGTCAGAAAATTTCTCCTTATTTCTAGTTTGGATCTCTTTTTAATGAGTTTCCACCCATTACTTCTTGTCCTGGCCTCTGGTGCCTTAGAGAATAAGTCAATCTCCTCTTTTGTGTGGCAGCCTCTCGAGTACATTTATTGTGTCCTGACTAATCTTTCTCTTTGAAAGGCGTAGACATACATAGCTCTCTGTCTCTATCTGTCTCTCCCTCTGCCTACCTACATATCTATCTATATCGGGTTAAGCTGCCAGTCAGTATTATTAGTGTAGTATCAGACAAAACAATATTTGCATGATTCCCTGGGCAAGAGACGTTCTGTCAACCACTGCTTCCCTGGACTTCCCAGTACACAGACACCAGGATGGGGTAATAAAATATCTTCTTTTTCCATTCAGTTTTGGATCAATTCTGTGGTATAACGAAACAAGATTAATTTCTATTCTGGAGATTACATACTGCCTCCAGGTGTTTCAGGATGTTTTGTCTTCATGGACAGATTTCTGGGAATATCCAGACAGCATCTGGAAGCCTATGAGATATCCAGTACATAGACCTCCCTCTCCACTAGCTGAGTGATATTTTTACAGCCTTTAATCACTTTCCTGAAGTGATTGACTTTTTCAGAAGTGATTGACTTCTGAACGGATTGACTTTTTTAAGGCTATGCTTAAACTAGCATTATTATAATTTTAACTGGGTATAACAATTGGATTGTTCACCACACAGAGTCCTAGTTGTTTGGAGTGTCAATCAGTCTTAATGCCTTGAAATATCACAAGTAAATAAGCAAAGATATCTAAACTAATCCCCCAATGAATGCAATTTATTAATAATGCTTCATTTTAAAAGTTAGATTATTTAAAAAAATAGAAAACTTTATAGAATATGAGATAACCAGTGGCTATTGAACAGGATGTGTGTATGTGTGTGTGTGTGTGTATGTG